ATTTTAATTTATAAATATATTAAAATACACTTAATATATATTTTTCATATTATTACATTAATAACATTTTAATGATTTTATTATTCAAACTACAGTTTTAATTTGAAAAAACATGAATTTCTTTTTTTATTCTCAGTTCACTTTGTTCCCCAAAGTAACCCTTGGAACTAAACAACCAATATATTTAGTAGTATAGTCCTAGCTTCTAATGAATGCAAAGCAGAAAAAGTCAACAACTTTTTCAATTATTGGGCACACTGGGCTACCTAAAAGTGCTGATTATAAATTAATGTATATGAAGTTCAAATTACCAATGATTAGGTAGTTACAGATGCTTTAATATTCGTGGGCTATATTATTCTTCGTTTTGCTAGCTAGTAAGATTTTATTAATATTTAACATTTAAAAAAAAAAAACTTTACTAATATTTATATTAGTTTATGCGAAATGGCCACTGGGCACACGCTTCCGGCTTCCCGGCCCTTGCCTGGAGTTGCAACTTTCAGTTGAAAAAGCCAACAACAACCATTTTATAAGTGGAGAAATGACATCCTTTTGATGCACGTATTAGCATTAGCTTTACTACCAACAACGCCAAGCTGTAATGCTTAGGTTCCATATATTTTCCCTCGATTCCTCTTTGACATGCAAAAGCAGGTGAGATATTTGTAAAAATTAATTTAAAAAATGTATATATTTGATTCAACTCTAGAATGATTTTTTTGGCCTCTAACATGATTTGAAAAAATTAACAAAAGTTTGATTTAGTTGATATCTATTAATTTAGAATTTTTTATTTAGAATCAAAATCAAATAGTTAAATCTTTATATTATCAAAAAACTAACCCTTTGATGTTAAAAAAAATAATTAGTATACTTTTTAACTCAACACGTTTTGAAACATCTGTTCGATTCAGTTATTAAAATATATTATAAATATAATTGATTTAGTTAATTTTTACATTCTGTATATATAGTTACATATTTAAATTTGTTAGTTTTTTTTATTTTAAATTAAAAATAATAATTTTAAAATATATATCTTATACAATGTGCTGAATAAAAAAATATTCTAATAAATGTAAAACAAACGTGATTTGAAAAAGAAAACAAAAAAAATCTCAAGTGAGCCTGTATAATCCACAAACAATCCGTCAGGGACCAGCATTTTTTGACTCTCCACCTAATGGCCTACGATCTATCCTGATACGGCGACTCTATGAGGGCCAGCTTCCTCCGTTTTTACTTTTTAGTTTCTTTCTGTTGATTATTTAGTTTTTCATCACTACTGCACCGGGCAAAAAAAGAATAATGATACATGGAATAAAACAATAAAACAAAACAATGAAACGAATCTGAGTTGGCACGTTCCCTCAGTAAAATATTAAAAATTGAGTCTACATCGTCATATAAGATTTGAAATAAAGTGAGATTTGAGATGAATATGAAAGAGACGAAGTGATGTAAAAAATATGAGATTTGAAAGAGGAAAACGGAAGATGCTAGGAATAAGGAACTTGGAGGAAGATGATGATTTGTGAGACTTAATTTTTAATATTTTGCTGAGGTGGCATGCCAATTCAAATTTGTTTCATCATTTCGTCTTATTGCTTTGTCTCAGTATCATTATTCGGAAAAAAATATACTTGAATTAAGCCAGAGATAATCAAGGGAGGGTCGGAAATTAAAAGCAAGACAAAAGTCAGAGTTTATTAAATTTATTTATTTCTTAAGAGGCCAAAAGTTAATCAATTCATTCCTATCCTACTACTTGCTTATCGTGTAGGAAAAAAAAAATAAAGAAGATATGTTTGGTTAGAATAATAAAAAATAGTTTTTAATAAGAATAGATGGAGCATGCAAAAACAGCATTCCGTTTACAGCTCGACGGTTGAGTTGTTTCCATTTTATTATTATAGATGTCGAAAAATTTGAAACTAAAATTTAAATTTTTCATGAGATATAAAATATATTATTAAATAAATAGATATATATAATATTATAAATTTTAATAAAATAAAAAAATTAATCATTAAATTATATATAATTTATCTTTTAATATTTCACTAAATGACGTATGTAATTCATACTATATGATTAGTATCTCATAAAATTCATCCTTTTTATCCTTTTTATCATTATTATTTTTTTGGCCACCCAATTTTTATTTCAATGAGAAAATCATTTTATTAGAACTCGATACGCCATTTGTTTATAATTTTTCCTAAAAAAAATTTGAGATAAACTTTAAGCGAGCAGTATTAATATTCAGACAGAGACATCCATACAGGTATTGTATAACAGTCTGGCTGTCGGGATCGAAAAGGATGAAAATACCCAAGCACGAGAGACGGCCGGATTTTGCGGCTTTAGATGAGAAGCAGATGCCCACTGCACCCCCAATTAACCGATCTTGCACTTTACAGTTCTGGACATCAGGTTCTCCGCCCTTTTTACCCTAGAAACAACAAACTTTCCAGTGGGCGTTCTCGACATTTCCGACATCAACAGTCAGTTCTGGTCGGAGGTAGTCAGCCATGAATAAGAGTGTTTCTCGATGGACCAGTTCACGTGGGAGATGAGCGTGAAATTGGATTTTGAGTCCCCTGGCCGGACCCCCTTAGGATCGGCTCCATGTTACTCTTGGAATATTTGTCCCCAAATATTTGCTTTTGCATAATGAAATGCAACCATGAAAAGAGAAAGATTAGATTATCATTAGACACATGCATGGATTTGTTTTCTTTTCTCCTTACACACGAGACGTGGATATCATCATGACTTCATGAAAAGTCCTCATCGTAGTACAGTACTTATGTTGTAAACATTGTAGTACAAAATTATTTTAAATTATCAATTTGTCATGGTTAGGGTTTGGGTATTTAATTTTTGTATTACTATTAGTTATTATTGATTGATGCATATTTTTATTTACTATATTATGTAATATGTTTATTTAAAAATTATTAATTTTTTATTTAAAATTAAAAAAATAAATTTAAAAATATAATTATGCATGAAGTGTATAAACATTAATCATATTTATATTATATTTTAATGACTAAACTAAATAGATGTAAAAAAATGTATTTAATTAAAAGGTATATTATTCATTTTCCATTATTATTACATACTACTCTTAATTAATTTTGCATTGCTAATTTCTACACTTTTCAGTTAACAACTTTTCTATTTTTTCTTATATTATTACC